TGTTTTGATGCCCAAATATCCTCAAATTGATCACCTCGATATCAAAATTGGAAAAACTTTATATAGTGCATCTTCTAACATATTTTTGGACCATCAATTTTCAAGATTTTCAAGTTTTCATGGATCTGTTCAATCTACACTATTTTTGAAGCTTTGAATTTTATAATTAAAGATGAAGATATATTTTATGACTATCACAAAGATTTTCAGTATTAAAACCACCTTTTTCGACACTATTTGAATGTGCGCTTTACTTTGATTGTTTAGAGCCTCGGCTCTATAAAGCGCACCCTTTCATATTTGTATGACTTCAAGAACATCTGTGTGAGAGAGAGAGAGCATTGATTTTATGGGAATCTACTAAATGCGGCCGGTTCCCAAAATTTTACTGTTAATTTTTTGATTCTATGGGAACCCACTAAGTGCGGCTGGTTCCCAAAATTTTATTAATTTTCTTTTTCGGATTCCCCAAATCGTTGGCAGACTCAACCTCAGTCCTTGTATTAAACCATTGATTGGGAGACAATGCTTATAAGTTTCGAAATACTCTCAATGCCACCTATTTTACTATATATCGGCAATCTGGTTGGCTACCATCTTGGAAATTCATTTTTAAAATTTGAGAGAAAATCTCTGTTGCTCTCTCAAACAGGCTACTTATTTTGCAGGTGCAATTCCACATCCGCAGCCCTCATGGATGTGGCAGGGTTTATGCGGAGATGTTCAAAGACAAAGTTGACAAGAACTGGAAATTCACATATCTGATCGTCGATATTACGGATCCTACAAGCACACAGTTGATGCTGGAGTCTTATGTTCCTACCTGAGCTGGTAAAATCAACACAACCCTGAGAATTTCTCAATTGTAGAGGTCGAATGCTTTCATTCAAAATGTTAGTGATTTTATGCTTGCTAAATTTTTCATGAGTGAAAGAATGTGTTGTGGGTTTCATTCTGCCCTTGGGGGAGTTTGGTTTAAAAAGTTGCTGCATTATCTTTCTTTCAATTTTTATGATTTTTTTTAACGTTTGATATTGAATCATTTTCCTTTTTTTTCTGAACTGGAGTGCGAACAGGGTTCTATCATACAGAGAGAGAGAGAGAGAGAGAGAGAGAGCTATACAACTACTCCAAAGATTTAATGCTTTGGATAAGATATTTGGGATCCACTTTAGAATGGGCAAGCTTTCTGCTTCCCCTTTTGCATAAAGCTTATATATTTCTCCCTATCCAACCGTGAATGGATAGCTGAGATGACCTCAATTACAATATCACGTCTCTACATTATTTTATACAAACTATTTTGACATCAAATTTTGGGCGTCCACTTCTCCCTTAAACTTGCACATGTAAAAAAACTATAAAAAATATTTCTAATAAAATAAATGACTAAAGTATTAAGGGTATTTTGATCATTGTTATAAAAAATATTTTTTACTATTATTTTTAGGTGCGTCTTATTGAGATGATGGTACGTATCGAATTTTGTATTCATATAATTTGCAGAAAGAACTAAAAGAAAAATACCCCAAGGCTTTAGATATAGATCAAAAGTTAAGTGGTTCACTAGATCTAAATGGATAGCAGTATAGAAACCTTTCCTTTTTAGAATTACCAAATGATTGGTTTTAGTAAAAACCTTTTAGAATTATCAAATGAATGGTTTTAGTAAAAAAATAAAACAAAAAATTTGAGTTCTAAGAAATCCTTCTACAGGAGCATATAAGATTAGTTTTGGTAAAAAATATATATATTTGAGTTCTAAGATATCCTTCTACAGGAGCATATAATCTTTTGGTGGTTCTTTCTGTCGGCCAACTTGAAGAGTCCTAAAAGTTGATATTAGAGAGTGTATAGGCATTACTGTATATTAACACCCTCCAAGCTATTTGGGACGAATTTTTTTTTCGAGCTGAAATTTTGGTACCCATTTGAGAATCATGAGATGATTATTTTTAGAAAAGAAAAAAACATTTAAAAATCACTTAGACCGTTTTTAGAAAAATGAAGTTTGGGTACCTCAACACTTTGATCATGTCCAAAAATTAGACTGCCCCTGTTCAACTTTGGGAAGATAATTTTTTTTTTTTAGCACATCGAGATTGAATGTTCTTTCTTATTTTTAATTTTTTTTTTAAGTTCTTTGTTTTTTAAGTTGGTCATAAGGTTCAAAAGACTACGTCCCCAAAATTAAAAGTTGATATCAGAGTGTGTATAGGCATTACTATATATTAACACCCTCTGACAAAAGAGCTACTTGGGAGGATTTTTTTTTTGGAGCTGAAATTTTGGTATCCATTTAAGAATCGCGAGATGATTATTTTTAGAAAAAAAACCATTTAAGAATCATTTAGACCATTTTTGGAAAAATGAAATTTGGGTACCTCAACAATTTGATCATGTCCAAAAATTAGACTGCCCCTGTTCAACTTTGGGAAGATAATTTTTGTTTAGCACATCGAGATTGAATTTTTTTTATATTTTTAATTTTTTTTTAAGTTCTTTGTTTTTTTAAGTTGGTCATAAGGCTCAAAAGACTACGTTCTCAAATTCGAGGTCCAAAATATACTACCGAGGGGGGCAAATGAACGGTATGCTCCTGCAGGGGCATCATGTCTCTTGTCCATATGAGAACCCTCATAATAAGAGAGAGATGGGTGGTTACATGTATAGTAACTTCTTCGTTAGGTTATTTTCTGGCGATACATGCTCAAATTTTTTTCCAGTGTTTGTGTTTACAAGCAAGATGAACATATGTTTTTTTTTTTTTCTTTTTCAGGTAGTTCAGACGGAAAGGATCCTCTATCCATATTGGGCATGGAAGTCAAGATGCCGAAATCTGAAATTTATTTTCTTCTATGATCTATACATTCATAATGCTCTCACACAAACTTCACAGGCTGTTACCCCATGTATTCCCGTTGGAAATATAAAATCTGATTTGGAGTAAAATGATTTCATTGGCATAAATTTTAATTTTGAGTAAAATCCCTTCATTTGAATAAACTTTGATTTTGAGTCAAATGACTTCATTTCTCTCAAATTTTATATTAATCTATCTTCTTCCTATAAAATTTAGGCATCACCTGTTTGGTGATGCTACAATGTACTCGTGGGAGTACATCATATGATTGCTCCCTCAAGTGAAAAATCCATATACACAAATTTTCTTGATATGAAATTTTAAGATCTTCTTTTCCACATTAGACTAGATGACTAAAATGTATAACAAAAAAAATAAAAAAGAATTTTTGAGCAACTGTGGAAAAAAACACTTTTTGGGAAAGCATAAAATAAGACTCTTTGGTAGAAAAAAATCAGTCACCTTAAGAGTCAAGTGTTACCTTTTAAATTGGGCATCTAATAGGTTTGGCAACAGGCCAGGGTTAGATAGAATTTAAAAAAAAGGAAAAGAAAAAAAAGAAAAGGGAAGGCCCATCGCGGTTCTGCCCTAGGCCCGGCTCTCCCGCCCTCAGGTCACATTTAATGACCCAGGACTTAGTTTCTTTGTGCTGGGCCGGGCCACTTGGCTCTATGAGTACCATTAACTCCAGTTAAAATCCAAGAAATGTTTTCCTTAGATTTTGCATGGAGATATCTCACAACATAGACATCCCATTTAGCTTGGGAAGACTTTGTTTGTACCAAATGTAAGTTTCAAGTGTTTGAAATAATGCATCTTGCAATGTATAATCCGTATCGTCAATTTTTAAGATTTTCAAGTGCTCATAGATTTAATTAATTTATATTATTTTTAAAATTTTAAATTTTATAATTAGAGATGACACTAAATTTTCAAGCCGTCATAAAAATTTCTGACATATTTTGTCAAGCTGCGTTTTACTTTGATTGTTTAGGGTCTCAACTTAATACAAACCACACCCTTAATTACGTAATTATCTTTTTTGAAACAAACCGATATGTAATAATTTAAATTAAAAGGAAAGGAGAGGAGAGGGTACAATGGGCCATGGGAAGAACAATATAGATATTGCCTTTAACCGTAGGGTGTAGTTTATATAAGGTGTCCATCTTAAACAACTCAAGCAAGATGCACCTTTAAAGCTTGTCGGAAGATGTATAGTTTCAGTCGAAAACCCTTATAATAACCTCAAAATCTATTTTCAACGCTAACTATAAAAGTTAAAATTTCAAAAGTAATGCAGATAAAAAAAATCTATAAACATGTAAAAATATTGAAAATAAACAGTGTTAAAATATACTCTATATTTTATTATATAATATCCATGTATCTAGAGATGGAGATGATCAATTTGAAGGTTTTGAAGGTTTTCCATATGAAATAACTTTTTTCTAATAGATTTTTGAGATGCATCTTCCACTTAATAAAGTTCATACGTTACCATTTTTTTATTTTTATTTTGAAACAGTGCCCTTCACTCCTACTCGCCAGACTTGAATAATCTAACAAATGAGACTGACTTAAATGCCCTATATTTTCTTCAACTTCTACAAACTATATATATAAAGGAAAAGTTTATATAGAGCTGAGGCTCTAAACAATCAAAATAGAGCCCACCTCAAAAAGTTCGTTGTTTTGATATCTAAATATCATAAAAAAGTATCATCTGGACATCAAGATGAATGAACATGAGAAAAAAAAAGATTTCAAGTTTTTGAAATAGTGCATCTTGTAACGTATTTTTAGACCGTCAAGTTTCAATATTTTTAAGTATTCATAGATCTACTCGATTTATATTATTTTTTAATATTTAAATTTTATAACTAAAGATGAAAATATATTTTAAAGCTATCAGAAAGATTTCCAGCATTAAAACCACATTTCTCGATACTATTTGAAGGAGCGCTTTACTTTGATTGTTTAGAGCCTCGGCTCTATACAAACCCCACCCATATATGCTATGTGACTTAATAACCATATAATGGCCTTCTCTCTCCCAATAATTGAGAACTGAGTAATCTAAGAAATGTGGATCACTTAAAATGCCCACAATTTTCTTCTACTCTTCCAAAATTTTCACAAATAACATGACCCCAGCAAGAATTGAGAATTGTGTAAATCCAATGAGTGGGGATCACTTGAAAATTCCCAAAATTTCCTTTAACTTTTCCAACCTTCTATTTTTTTTTTCAATCAAACATGACTCAATGAAGCAAGATTTGAAAATTGAGTGACCAAATATTCTTGAAATGACTACACCTAACTTTTCAAACTATTTTTTTATCCTTGAAAGATGACTCAAATGAAGCAATAGTTTACATAAATAAGTGAAAGCTAAAGGTTCCTTGGAGGAAAACCCAATCTTCTCCGTAGGCTTTGACGCACTTCCTTCACATCTTTCACCTATTCTCCATTTGCAAATATGAAAAGATAATGAAAAAAAAAAAAAAAAATTGGAAAAGGAAGAACAAGTCCGATATTCACCTATTTTTCATTTGTAAATATAAAAGGAAAAATGATCCTATAAGACTTTTTCCTACCTATGTGTAGAGGACTCTAAACGATCATCATTAAATTTGATGGATTTATAGAAAAATCAATTCCTATATATATGTGATAATTTTTTTTAAAGATGTGTGTCAATTTTAATGGTGATATTTTAAAATCTTATATACATAAGTGGGAAAAAATCTTGTATCATTACTCATATGAAAAAATCCGGATCCTACACGCACGAGTGGAGTGAGGGTCACGCATGCGTGGGGGAGGGTCCTGTATGCGTGGGGAGGGTCCTAAGACCATTACTCATATATAAGGAGAATACAAAAGAACACAAACATAACTGAGAATAAGAGAGAGGAGAGAGAAATGCATATTTTCATAGCACAACATTGCACGCAAATTCTCAGGTAAGATGGGTGGGATTGAAGAGAAGAGCTTTCGGCGCTGAAAGAGAAGAGAGAGAGAGATGGGGTACCTCATTAATCCCAGAAGCATGCAGGAGACCACCAATGGCGCTGGCCCCTGCACCCACAAATAGAGAAGCAATCCCAAAAGCTTTGAAAGACATCAGGCCATCCCCACACCCCCTTCTGTAAGCAACAACTCCCATGGCCGCCTGCACTGAACCAGCAGCCACCCAATACCAAAACCCATTCCCATATTCCTCCATTAAAGCACTCTATGATAATCTAACCAACCCAAAATCCCACCTTTCAGTTCTAACAATCTCTCTTTATCTATCCTTTTTTGGGCAAGTTAGATTAGTGCTACGAGTTCTCTCTATTTTTGAGATTTTGGGGATTGATTTGATTGTTTTGAAGGTTTTTTGGGGGTTGATATGAGGATTTTGCTGAGACTTTACCGGTTCGATCCAAGGGTGGGTTGGATGGGGCAAAGAGTTATAGTGAGAGAAGGAAAACTTTTGTGAGAGAGAGAGAGATTACAACCGAGATAAAATAGTATCATGTAGTGGCTTTCATGGGGAAAGAGTTGTAGTGAGAGGAAGGGAAACTTGGGTTAGAAAGAGAGTGACCGAACTTACAGTCAAAAGGAAAGCCTAGAGAGAGAAAAATTCAGGAAGGAGAGAGACACCAGTGCCATGTTATGGGGTTACTGCTTATTGGAGAAGTATGGCAATGGAATGTCCTTATCTTTTCATGAAATCAAAAGAAATTCCTTTAGATGGCCAAGGGATTTACTGAAAGGTTAGGGTAGTTTCGATCATTTTATCTTCTCTTTAATCAAAACGCCGTTACTTTGCAGGACGAGAAGTTTGGGAAGTCAGCTTCCCCATGGCTCGAAGAAACCCCTCAATCACTTTTTTCCTGATTTTATTGGTGAGGATTCTCTCTCTCTCTCTCTCTCTCTCTGTCTCTCCTTTTGGGTTTTCACTTTTTTGTCCAAATTTATAGTCTTTCATAACTTATTGGAGAATTTAGAGTAGCAACTAGCAGATTTCTCCAACACTAGCTAACCTACTAACTGTTTCCCAATTTTTCCATTTGGGTTTTTCATGTTCTTGTTGAAAGTACACTCTTTGAAGTTTGAACAGTTATTTGCACCATTCTTACTCTTATTTCTGATTTTTTCACTCTCTGAGTACCAATAGTAGAAATGAAAGAGCCCATCTTCCTCTTGGGTCTCTCTATCCTAGTGAAATCACCAGTCCTCTAAGATTTATTTGGAAAAAAAAAAAGAGACCACCTTTTTAGTCTTTTTCCTTTTGCTTTGCCAATTTCTTTTACTTCACATATTACTTCCCTGCTTTTCTTCTCTGATGTATTTCATTGCCCTATGGGGTTCAAATTATTTATCAGACTGTGGTGCAAAAAGGTGGGGTTTTGGGGGACTTCCCAATGGTGGTGAGCACATGGCCCTTTAAAGAGGCAGTTAGAGCAGCTTGGAAGGCAGTTGATAGGGGGCTCTCTGCTTTAGATGCAGTTGTAGTGGGGTGCTCAGCTTGTGAGGAGCTTAGATGTGATGGCACTGGTAATGAATTTTTGCTTTCCTAATATAAAGAAGCTAAGGTTTTAGTACTATGATTCTTTTGTTTTGTCCAATTGCTTTATAAAAATGAAAAAGCTCATAATTTTGGGCTTATAAATGTGGAAAGAACATCATACTCAAAACATTCGAACTCAATTTAATATGTTGGTACCAAATTCATACCATAATATAATGGACTGTATGGTCATCTGTGATTGTGGTATTTTTATTTCATTGTTGCTATTTATTTCTTTCATCTCCATAGGTTTTGTGCTACTAGAAGCCATCGATGTCATCTTCTTTCATCCATGGATTTCTTCACTTGTTTAGGATGAAAACCTCTGGATTTGACAAGTGTTCATTATCATTAATTTCGTGTAATTAATCCTGGATTTCACTTCTTGGTTTTTCTGGTCTGAGAACTTGTAATTCATGAACTATGCCTCCATTTTGTTCTAATGTACTATGTAATCCAAATTAATTGGATAATATTTTATCGATTTCTGTCCTGAAAATGAATCTTCCTCTATTTTTGGGTAATAATGGACAAGCATGCCTTTTTTTTTTTTTCCTTTCAAATTTTTGGATAGCCTGTATTTGTATTCTAGTTACAGTCATTATCTGATGAGGAAATGACGATTTCAATGGTGAGGCATGGCATATCAGTAATTTGGAAGCTATGAATCAACGTAAAGGAAGACTTCTGCTTCATTATTATTAACCAAGTTATAGATGAAAACACAAGGTCACTCATAAATGACAAAATTTAAAACTAATCAATCAAAATTCCAAGGGAAAATTGTTTCATGTGGCGGGGACCAGAGCTACAAAGCATCCATCTTAAATATGGATGCAAATAGGAGGTCCATCTAAAAACAATTGAAACCAATGGTCCAAATGCTTTCTTACTAAAATTATTATTTTTTATTTTCAAAATTTATTTATTTTTTCATATTCATGATCTCCATGTTAGAGATTACATGTCCTTAAAAATTAGGTCCAAAAATCCATCTCAAAAATATATTTTTAAGAGGTGACTCATTTCTACATGGACTCATAGAAACCGTGTCCAGTTCTAAAATATCAAAGCTCTTGTTTAGAGGTTTGGAATGCAATTCCTAAGAGATGAAATAATCCATGAAATTTCTAATACAACATCAACTGAGGAAAGAATTGGAATTCAATGTACTTTTAAACTTTGACAGTGAGCTTCTTGAGCTCCATACGGGTTTGGCTGCCTATTGACTACAGATCACAAGCACCAATTTCGTTTGAGTTTTGAACTCAACTTCAGGTTTTTTTACCTACTTATCATGAAATGAAATGCAATACAGGAAGCAACTTGAGTATAATTTGAGTTTTGAACTCAACGTTAGGTTTTTTTACCTACTCATCATGAAATAAATTGCAATACAACAAGCAACTTGAATATAATTTTTATTTTTCTTCGCTACCATGAGTTGATAATGGGATCGTCTAGAATGAGATTTTTTTTGTCCCTCCTTTCCTGCTGATGAATAGAATATGGTATTTATCTGAAATTCTCCTAATGCAAAAGAATGTGGTTTGAGGTGTGAATAGTTGGGCCTGGTGGGAGCCCAGATGAGAATGGAGAAACCACAATCGATGCAATGGTCATGGATGGGGTACACCCCTAAAGCCCAAAACTCATTCTTTACTTTCATTTTAATTGATGTCTACTCTCTAAAGTGTTCTCTACTTTAAGGAAAATGGTAGACAACAATGGAGGTTGGTGCTGTTGCAGCAATGAGATATGTCAAAGATGGCATCAAAGCTGCACAATTAGTTATCAAACACACCGAACACACTCTACTTGTGGGGGAGAAAGCCTCTGAATTTGCCATTGCCATGGGCCTTTCAGGACCTATGAACCTGAGTTCAACAGACTCTATGGATAAATGGATGAAATGGAGGGAAAATTCTTGTCAACCCAACTTCCGTGAGAATGTCTTCCCTATCAAAGGTTGTGGCCCTTATAGTCCAATTAGTGCAGCATCTGGTTTGAGAGATGATCCTAAGGGATTACACTTAGGGGAAGGGAACTGTGGAGTAAGTGATCCATTAAGAACTGTGTCTTCGAGATCTGTTCCTGTGGGCCCCCGTAACCATGATACCATCTCCATGACTGCAATTGATAAAGTAAGTAGCGTAATTTGGTTATTTATTTTGGAGTCAAGTTGGGCTTTCCCTCTGCATAAGCACTGGGAAGTTTACTTGGCCAAAAAAAAAAAACTGTGTATATGTTTCTGCCCCTGGTTTAAAGTTATAGCAACTAACTCTTATGGGGTTAACCATGGCATGTAACGCTTATTTGGTTATTTATTTTGAAGTCAAGTTGGCTTTCCCTCTGCATAAGCACTGGGAAGTTTACTTGGCAAAAAAAAAAAAAAAATGTGTATATGTTTCTGGCCCTGGTTTAAAGTTATAGCAACTTATGCGGTTAACCATGGCATGTAACCCCTATCTGTTGTAATCTCTCTCTCTTCTCTCTCTCTCTCTCT